GCCGGGCCTCGTGGCGGCGGCGGCCGAGCGGACGCTGGGCGCGGCCGCGCGGGCGGCGGGAAGTTGGTCGAAGGGGGCCGCGAAGCGGCGGGAGCGTGGGGTCCCTCCGGGTCGGCGGCGGCGTGGGCGGGAAGGGGCGAGCTGCGGGTCTCCGCGCAGACTGTGCGCCGCCCTGCCCGGGAGGGCGAGAGCCCCGGAGAGACGCTCACGGTCGGTGTCTGTTCTTGCGTCTCTCCTCCAGCCGAAACAGCTTCCGGACAAGTGGCAGCATGACCTGTTCGACAGCGGCTTCGGGGGCGGCGCAGGCGTCGAGACTGGGGGGAAACTGCTGGTGTCCAACCTGGATTTCGGAGTGTCCGACGCTGACATTCAGGTGAGGGGCGGGAGTGTCGCGGTGAGCAGTTGCCCTCGCCGAATTGGTCCTGTTTGGGATGTGCCCGGCTAAGGACAGTGAGCCCTCCGGGGCCGCAGGGCTAGCCCCGGCCCCTCTAAGGGGTGCAGGAGTGCGGAGCAGAGGCTGGGCCGCAGGTGCCAGTCCCGCAGGCAGCTCAGCGTGTGGGGAGGCCCGCCCCAGCTGAACGTGGGGAGCGGCTGCTCTGCGGATGCGCCTGCGCACGAAGACACTCTGCCGGAGCGGTCAATTCCCAGCGGGGAAGACCAGCCTAGTGGGCGCCTTCCCTGGGTCGCGGCCGCACCTAGGGCGTCCGTTTTGTTTATTTCCTCCTGGTTCTAATGTCGTTGGGAGGAGAAGGATCTTTTTCTGTGGAAGTCAGTGTGCAGAGCGCAGAAGGGGGCTCGCTGTGCCTCGAACCCCGGCTCGGGTCTTACGGGACTTGGGCCTTGTTCTTCCCCTGGTCTTTTCAGTGGCATGATTCTCAGACTCAGCTTTGCTTGAGCTTCTTCTTTTCTTTGTTTTCTTTTTTTGTTGTTTTGTTTTGTTTTCTGTTTTTTGGGGGATTTTTTATTTTTGTTGAGCTTTTTGTTTGAATTTCAAAGGCATGTAGATTTTAAAGGCATATTTACTTGTTTTCTGATTAAGTAAAGACATCTTGGGGATCAGTCCCATAGATGGCTGGGTCAGGGTGCTGGGCCTTCCTGGGTTCAGTTTCCCCGAGCCCAGCTGTTTGTTTGACTACCGTGGGAGGACAGAGCAAGGCCGGTGAGCACTCACGGTGTCTCAACACTTTTTTTAAGGTGGTTTCTGGCATCCACTGGAAACCGCTTTTGGTGAACTCCACTTCCCGCTGTGTGCCTGCGGCCGGAGTAGCCCCACACTCTGGGTTCCCTCTCCAACTCCCAGCCTGCCTGAGGTCAGGGCAGTTTCCATGGCAACGCTTGACTTCAGCCTTTGCGGCAGGCTTGAGTAGGAGGAGAGGGAAAGGTGAGCCAGAATCTGCCCTGGGGGAGGGGCTGGGTCAGGGCTCCCGAATCAACGGGCCCTGTGAGCTGGTCCACATGTCCACATGTCGGATAGCATCCCTTGCTCTGTGATCTTGGCCTTTGCTGTTTCTTGGCACAGTCCTTGGGTGTGTTGTCAGTTTTCCTCTGTTGAAGAAGATAGCGACTTAATCTTGTTCCCTTCACTGGCGGGCTCTGTGGTCCTTTACCTGCATCCTGGGACAGATGTAAGGTCCCCGCGCTGGCAGGAGCCCTCAGGCCCAGCTGCTCCGGGAAGTTGCTGTCCCGTCTGCCCCTCCCTTCCCCTACCACTGCCCTGCCCCCCCTACGTGTCTGCCGCCCAGGGAAACGACCCCAGAGCAGCTCACATGCCCGGGGAGTGCCCTGGGCCACCCGAAGGGAAGCCACTTGGCTGACAGCTGCTCTTCCCGGCCTCCAGGAGCTCTTCGCTGAATTCGGGACCCTGAAGAAGGCGGCTGTGCACTATGACCGCTCCGGGCGCAGTTTAGGAACCGCCGACGTGCACTTTGAACGGAAGGCAGATGCCCTGAAAGCTATGAAGCAATACAACGGGGTCCCCCTGGATGGTGCGTCTGCGGTTGGACCCAGGATGATGGCAGGGCTGCGTCTCGTTTGTGCGGTCTGGGGCCGGCAGCTGTCCGTGCAGGAGTACGCCTCCCCCCTGTGGCCGAGGACACTTTGCATTCGCCCCTTTGTCTCTCTCTTCCATTCTGCCACCTCTCATGCTGCCCCACACATCGGGACCAACCTCTTGTGAACCCCCATCCAGCGAGCTACATCCCTCCCCTCCTTCAGCTCCTTCCGGAAGACTCACTTCTGTGAAGCCTTCTCAGAACCGCCATAGTACAGCTCCGAGTGCGGGGCTGTAGTCGTAAAGACAAAGGTACCGGTTCTTCTTCCGTCAGGCCACCCACACCTTTCTACCCACGAGCGCCCCGGACACCTGACCAGACACCCACGTCACCTGGACTGAGAAGGAGCAAGGAGGCGGTTCTTGGTGGGGTTGTCCCTGGCAGCCCCTCGTTCTCCCGCCAGTATCGCTCGGCCGCTCCCCTTGTCGGGAGCACCGGAGACACACACAGCCCCTTGCCGGTGCTTGCATGGGGACCAGGCCGTGGCGCCCGTCGGCGCATCTCAGGGCCCTCTAACCGGGGCGCCTCTTGTATTCTCTGCCGCAGGCCGCCCCATGAACATCCAGCTCGTCACGTCACAGATTGACACGCAGCGGAGACCCACACAGAGGTGAGCGCCGGGGCCGGGGCGCCGCGTGGGCCCGCAGGCCTTTCCGCGTCCGGAGAGTGATTCCCTCTTCCTCGCTAGTGTGAACAGAGGCGGGATGACCAGAAACCGTGGCTCTGGGGGTTTTGGTGGCGGCGGCGGCACCCGAAGAGGGACCCGCGGAGGAAGCCGGGGCAGGGGCAGAGGCACGGGCCGGAGTTCAAAGCAGCAGCTTTCTGCAGAGGAGCTGGACGCCCAGCTGGACGCTTATAACGCGAGGGTAAGTCCCGGGCCGGGGGCGGGGGCGGGGGGCACGGGGCGGCCGCTGAGCGAGCACTTGCTGTGTTTCAGATGGACACCAGCTAAAGCGCGGCAGATCCTGGCATGGAGCAGGACCCAGACGTCTCCTCCGTGCCCCTGGCTGGGAAGGGGTGGTGGACTGGGGCTGTGCGGCCAATGATGGATTTGTTTCTTTTATGTTTTAAAATAGGATTTAAAAACTCATGTAAAGGTTTGGTTTTTTTTTTCTTTCCTTTTTTTGTTTTGTTTGTTTTGGGTTTTTCTGGTTTTTTTTGTTTTTGTTTTTTAAATCTGAAACAGCCGTGTTTTGTACTGAGTTATTTTTGGGATAAATGTTACCGGTTGGTGTTGTGGGAAGGTGGTGTTTTCACCTTTGCCATAATAAAACAGAGATGTGTGTGGAACTGGAGCCATGTGACTCGTCCCCGTTTCAGTCCTTCCTTGGGCCTGACTGAGCGTGCAGGGAGCAGTCCCGTCAGGCCCCGGGAGTCAGTGCTCCCGGACGGCGACTGCTGCTGCCCGTCTCTGCTCTGCCGTCCTAGCTCCGTCCTCTCCCATCCTCTCCCATCGGGTGGGCGGGAGGACGTGGGAACAGCCACCACCACTGCCTGCAGTGTGACAGGAGGGGGCCCCAGGGACACCGTGTTGTTGCCAGACTTCACATGACCAGGCCAGGCTGTCCCTCTCCTCCTGGAGTTCTGCTTGTCAGAAGCATGGATCAGCAGTTCTGACTTTGCACCATAACCCTTTTCCTGTTTTTCTCTCACATCAAAGCAGGAGCAAGCCAGAAAGTGCGCCCTTAATTGTGTTCTGGGTGAAACGCTAGGGGGGCTGTGGCAGAGGCGAGTTTGACGCACACAGATCTGGAAGGGAGGGCCGGCAGGTGCCCCACCTGCACCCCTCTGGGACAGAAGAGAGCAGGCCGGCGATGTCACTTGGCCACTTGCCTCTGCTCCCGTGCCCAGCCATGCTGCTCGGAAGAGGCTGAGATCCCCGTCCTGGGAGGCTGGGTAGGGAGACCACACTGTGGTCCTCAGGGTTTCCCGCCCTCTCTGGAGGCGGTGCCCAGGGCGCAGTTGTGCCTGGAAGCCAGTGAGACCTAAGGGCCCCCGCTCTGCGGCTCCCGAGCACAGTTCTGGGTGCAGCAGGCGCTTGGAGGGCAGTGGCCTCCACGGAGAGGAGAGCCCCGGGGAGGCGGGGGGCTGCGGAGCGCAGAGCTGCGTGGCTGGGAGGGATGGTGTGGCAGTGTAAGGACCGGCCAGGGTGCGCCCTGTAGCTCAGTCGGCTCTGGGGTCGGCTTGCACGTTGGCCGTGGTGCCTTGAACTGCCAGTCCCGGCGCTGCTGCTGCGGAGCCAGCAGCTGCCACTTGAACGGCCTGCCCACACCAGGCACTGGACGGAAAGGTGACTGGCACAACCTGGCTCGGCCGTGGAGGAGCCCAGTGTCGTAGGGAGGGATTGGCACGTGCCTGACCTTGGCTGCTGTGGCCACCAGGGCGGGATGGGATCAAGGTCACGTGACCCAGGCACAGCAGGGCCCTGGGAGGTGGTGTCCGCAGAGCAGCCATGTGCTGGGTAGGGAGACGGCTGTCAGGCTGTCGGAGAGGTGGCAGGCTGCTTGAAGAGCACACCTGCTGGAGGGGGAAGGTGGCCTGGACCAGAGGCCACAGGTGCTGCTGCTGCTGCTGGCCGCTGGGATGGGGAGGCGGGGGGTGGTGGCTCAGAGGCACTGGAGCCATGGCTGAAGGTGCTATGTGTGGAGAGAAAGGCACAAGAGGAAAGTAGGGGAAGGGGCGGCGCTCAGGGTGGGTTCTAGGAGGCCGGAGAGACGCCAACCGGCGTCCCACGGGTGTTGGGAGCTGGACGTTGCCAGTTTAGCAGCTGGTGACAGGCAGACACTAGCAAAGCAGTGGCCAGTGGTGTGACCCAGGAAGGTGACAGGAGAAACTGGAGGGGGTGACATTGCAGGAGCTGGGGAGACAGTGGGGTGGGGAGGGGTAACTGAATAAGAAGACCCTGAAATCTGGCGAGTCCGATGGGTGGGTGCTGCGTGCGTCCGCACAGGCTGGGATTGCTTTGAGCCTTGACTTCTTCATCTGTGGGACAGAAAACCTCATCTTACTTTTTTTTAAGATTTTATTTATTTGACAGCAGGAGAAGGAACACAAGCAGGGGTAGTGGCAGAGGGAGAAGCAGACTCCCCGCTGATCAGGGAGCCCAGTGCGAGGCTCCATCCCAGGACCCTGGGAGCATGACGTGAGCCGAAGGCAGATGCCCAACCAGTGAGCCACCCAGGCGCCCCAGGAAACCTCGTTTTACTTCCAAGATTTGGAGGAGCCTGTAACTGTCTATACAGGGATGCTCCTGAGAGGGAAAGGGAGGGGGGTGCTGTGTGCAGAGACAGCACCCGTGATCCAAGGCAAGCTGGGGAATTGGTCACCGAAAGGGTAGTGCCAGGTGCACGGCCAGCACTCTTCATCCCCCAAAATACCAGTTAAATGAGTGAAAGATGAAATACAACTCGGGGGTTTTACATGTTTTTCTCCCGCACATTTTTTGCTCAGACGCTGAACTGCCATTAGCCAGTGCCCCTCAGAGCCACGCGGCTGGACCGGCCGCCCCTTAGCCCGGATATGGATGCTGACCGGCCCTCTTCATGGCCAGCGGTCCACACAGAAGCTCAGTGCTGGGCCCAGAAATGGGTACGGGATCTGCTTGGCCTGTCTCAGTTGCTCTGCGCGTTGAGCAGGAAGCCGGCCCCGGGGAGGAACGGCGGACTGGCTGCAGGACTCAGAGCGCCTGGGCCGGACCTGTCGTCAGATGGCCCGTGCGGCGAGGAGCTGGCTAGCTGCTGGCGTGTCCGAGGCTCTTGGTTAGTTGAGCAAAGATGTGTGTTACCAAGCGTTCTGGAACAAGCGGCGCCTCTCTGCTTGCGGACTGCAGGAAACAGGCGGCGGGCCAGAGTCGGTGACCGCGGTGGCCCTTCGCCGACGTCCTTCGGGGCCCTCTCACCTCTGTGTGTCCGCACGCGTCTGCGGAGTGAGGAGTTTGGTTCTTCAGGGAGCTGCGAGCCTGACACAGGAATCAAAAGTGAGAAATTGTGATACAGTCTCACACCTATGATAGAAGTTAACCGTGGGAACGCAGACTTGGCGCCGCTCTCCAGTCGGGGCTGCAGACATGGAGAAACAGCTGTGGAGGGCCTGGGCCTCCCTCACCGCCGGGCTTTCCGTGCAGATCTCATTTATCCTCCCGGAAACCTGGTCAACTGATCTTTCTATTTTTGAGTTTAAAGAAAACTTATTTACTCATATGGCAAGCACCTTCCTCACGAGCCAGGGACACAGCAGCGAGCGCAAGACAAATCCCTACCCTCAGACATCTGCTCTGATGCGGGACAGACTGGCCTGGGGGGTGAACACAGGATATCGGTGCCCGGCCGGAGCCATTGACGGAGCGTGTGACTTTTGATCTTGGGTCATGGATTTGAGCCCTATGTTGGAGGTAGAGGTCACTTTAAAAATAGGGGCGCCTGGGTGGTCCAGTCGGTGAAATGTCTGCCTTCGGCTCAGGTCATGATCCCAGGGTCCTGGGATCGAGTCCTGCATTGGGCTCTCTGCTCAGCCGGGAGCCTGCTTCCCCCTCTGCCTCTCCCCTTGCTTGTGCACTCTCGCTCTCTGTCAAGTAAATAAAATCTTAAAAAAAAAAAAGAAAAAAAGCTTAACACATTCAGTCAGCACAGAGGGTGACGGTACAAACAGAACTGCCTCCCAGTGCTCTCCAGACCCAGGTTCTGCAGGCATTCTTAGTTACATATTTTTTATTTTTAAGATTATTTATTTATTTGACAGACAGAGATCACAAGTAGGCAAAGAGGCAGGCAGAGAGAGAGGGGGAAGCAGGCTCCCCACTGAGTGGAGAGCCCGATGCGGGGCTGGATCCCAGGACCCTGGGACCAGGACCCGAGCCGAAGGTAGAGGCTTAACCCACTGAGCCACCCAGGTTTCCCTATTTATTGTACTTTTTATTTTTATTATTTTTTTAGTCCCCTCTACCCTCCAATGGGGCTCGAACTCACAACCCTGAGATCGAGAGTCACATGCTCTACACTGAGCCACCAGGATGCTCCTACTGGGCTTTTTTTAAACGACAGCTTTAGTGAGATAAAATTGACATACCATAAAGTCGACCATTAGGAAGGTAGAATTTTAATTTTACAGTGACTTTACCACATTAACAGGGTCACAGTCCAACAGCTCATTCAAGTTCCAGAATATTTTCATCGCCCCAAAAAGAAACTCCACTAGCAGTGACTCCCTACTCCTCCCCTTGTCCCGGCACACGCCGGTCTGGGACATGGCATATAAAGGCAATCATACATGCGTGACCCTCTGTCTCTGGTCCTCTCACTTGGTGTCGTGCTTTCCAGGTAGACCCGCTCACTAGCACGAAATTCACACTTCAGTGTCTTGCCAGAACCCGGCGAGGACTGACGCTTTGTTTCCGCACTGCGCGGTGGGCCTGCACTTGAGCTACTTCGGACGCGGGAGGCCGGGAGTGTGCACACGGTCTTCTAGAACATGTGCCTCTAGGATGGGAGTTGGGGTCGGCGGGCAGCTGCGCCCTCCCGCACCCTCACCGGCCAGCACAAGGTTGCCCGTGTGCCCTGTCCACCTACCTCAGCCATCATCTGGTGCAAAGAGGTATCTCCCTGTGGTTTCGCCTGCATTTTTTTCTTTATCATCCTTATCCTTAAAAAAGACAGAAAGACAGAAGAGTCTGGATTGAATAGCAGTTCTCACGGTTTTGACGCGCCTCCCTGGGCGCCGCCCGGGAGCACTGGCGGCGGGAGCATCCTGTGACCGGCACGCACCACGCCCAGCCGTGCATTTGAACGGTTGACTTTGTTGGATGGGAGGAATGTTGCGCTCCAGCCGCGCGAAGACACGAATCGCGTCCGCTCTCCCTCCCCGGGGCCTGCGCTCCGTGAGTTGCAGAAGCCGACTCCCAGCGGCGCCGCGGTGCCTGTGTCTGTCAGTCCCAGCCTTGTCATTCCGTTGGCGGCCGCCGGTTTCTCTGTTTAACTGTGAAGGTCCTTAGCTGTTATTTTGTAGTTTTGATGTTCAGATTTATAGGAAAGAAGTGAGAATAGTACAAGGAGCTCCCATGGCTTCTCGCCAGACTCCCAGATGCTGGCATTCCACTTTTTTAAT